TTAGTGGGGCCTTGGTCTTGTGCTTGTGCCTAACCTGCAAGAGAGGAATGGAAAGCAAGTTTCTGTCAGCTTCTGTTTCCACAGAGAAAGAAGGCAAACATTTCAGAAGGGGGCAGAAAACTGGAGTGGCTGATAGACTCGATGCACTGATAGTCCTGCCTCTCTCCAAGATTTTACATTGGAATTTGCTTTGGAAAATCTTATATGCTAATAAGAACCTCCCTCAGTTATAAATTCCAGATTTGCAAGTGTACTTTTCCTTACTGTTCCCTCTCTACGTAGAAAACCGTACCGTACTTTTTACTCTTCTCTCGTTTCTGTTTGTCTGCTTCCTCATTGGTTCTTTTTGCCCTGTCATCTCATCCCTTCACTGAGAATGAATATTTCCATTTTCCTCAATTAATTTTGTTAATGTCCAGTCTTTTTCAGTCCATTTGCTCTTTCTTTTATCTCTTCCCACAAGTTGCTCATTTACTTTAGGAAGATGGGTTCTTCTGTCTTCCATTTGAAAAGCATAAAATGTGCTATCGTACATAAATAATGCATGTGGATTTTTAAATAGACCTTAAGTTAAATCTCTGCTTCATCCACTGCTAGTTACCTTGTCAGCTGATGAAGACTAGTAAACTGGGCAAGTTACTTTATCTCTCTGAACTTTAATCTCCTTATCTGTAAATTAAGATTATAGTCCAGCTTTTTGAAATCTCCAAGTCTAAATGAAATGCTTGGCATAAGTAGTTATTCAATCAATGTTAATTCTCCTCCTGAATGCCAGCTGGTAAACGTGACATTAGCACTAGATTCTGACCTTATAAAGTTAAAAATGTATTTAAGCTTTGTGGTATTAAAACACCTACCTTTTGTCTAGCACTTCATATTTTCTATACCTTCATGTAGATTATATCAAATATAAACAGACACTTATTCTGGTTCATAATGTTTAAAGGTTTTCTTTCGTAGTTCCCAAATTCACTCTCTACTTCCTCATCTTCAGTTATGTTTTTTTCACATATATTAATCTGGGTTTTTCCCCCAGCAATATTATAGTATCATTTTCTACTTCTTTGTTTTCAGTACAATTTTTCAAAGCATATTGCAGCTATATGTTAACCAGCAAAACTTAAGGGAGCTACATCACTATGTGTAAGTTAATGATGAAGAAATAAGTCCAATTTCCAAATAAATACTATTTAATTTTTAGAATATCCTTAATATATAAATTGTAAACTGTTTAGGCTTATTTAAATCCTAAAATATCTGCTGATTTGTTGACTTTATAGTCAACAAATTGACTTTATAATAAAATTTTCTTCAATATACATGTAGCATTTTGCTATCATTGACTGTTATTTTACTAAAAACTTTCTATTCACATATTGTGAAAAGCAGAATTTATTTGACTGACTTACTGTCTCATTTTGTTCTAAACATGTTACTCTGTGGTTATTTATGTACAAACAGTGATATGTGTGTTTACTAGAAATTGTGTTCTTATGCATCTCAGTCTTACACTTAAGTGTCCAAAAGTTTGTCAGGCATTTTTAAGTTATAAAGGATTTCCCATCTTGATCTGTTCACCATGTGAACTATTCTGGTGACAAATGAATTCTGGGCAGTGAATCGCGAAGGACACAGATGTCAAAGCCATGAATTTACAAATGGTCTATTAAGCGGATGCTTTTGTCCAATCAGCACTTTGTTAATTTTACCTGCAAACAGGAATAATTATTCAATTACAGTTTCTGTCAAACAAAAGTGAATGAGAAACATGTCCGTATGTGAAACTAAAGGGTACTTCGTAATTCTGACAGAGGACCCAAAATTTAGGCAGCTGTGTGGAGGTAGATAGGGAACCAAATTGACCTATAATACTTATTATAAATCTTTATGAATATTCATTGATCTTACCGAAAGATAATTTTTATTCTAAGTTTAAAATACAAAAGTCACGTTTGTATCTTCGTGAAATATAATTAGAAAAATAGACCTCAACACTAGTAAAAGTAAAATTATATTCCTCTTAAGTTTATTTCTTCCTGCTATCAATATAGTTTTAAACTGTTTCTTTCAGTAAGTTAAAGTTTTTCCTTATTAAAAAGTCATCTATTTCTTCATGGTGTTACTGCATATCACATTGCTTAAAGTAGAGTTAGGGCTTAGCAAACTTTTTCTGTAAAAGGCCAGATAGTAAATAATTTTCAGTTTCATAGGCCATATGGTCTCTGTCCCACCTATTCAATTCTGCCACTATAACATATCACAGCAATAGATAATATGTAAAAAAAAAAATGTGGTATTCTAATTAAGCTATATAAAAATAAGCAGCAGCTTGAATTTGATCTGTGGACTATAGTTTGCTGATGGCATTTAAAAAGTGCCCCTAAGATTTTGAATAATGTTCTAAAATAGAAGAATGAACTGTGTTAAATAACCTGAATGACTATTTACTGTATGATTCCTTACAATATTTGGTTCCCATAAACTGCAGTATCAGTGGCACTCCTTGAAGTAGTAACAGTACGGTAATGTTGATAATAACTTCCATCATCCGTTTCTATCTTATCAATGTCAGTGGTATCTATGGCCCACTGCTTGTCTTACAGATAAGGTTTTATTGGAATACAGCCATGCTCATTTGTTTACATATTGTATGTAGCTATTTCACACTTAACAGCAGACGGTGGTAATTCAACAAAAATTATATGACCCACAAAACCTAAACTAATAACTTTGCAAAAAAACTTTGTTGACTTCTGACTTTACCATTGTTAAGTTCATTTTTAAGGATTAAATCAGGTATAACATGGGAAAGTTTCTGATTGTCATATTAAGACCAGCAAAGGAGTTATCAAGCAGTTACCCATGTACCTAGCAAGCTTCAGAAATTATTTTTTTTTCTCTTCAGTGTTTCTCATCTTATATATCTAGTTCAGGAAACCAAATTTATTTCGTTCTAGTCTTGCTCTTACTGGTGTTGACCAGTTACTTCGAAGAATTTATATTAGACATTTAAGCACAGTCAGGAAACTTTACCTATTTATAAAGGAAGGGAAGAATAGAAGTTACTCAGTTTACTTGGAGTGAACTCTGGCCCAGTAAAGCTAGAACACCTTCTTCACATGCCCAATTGGGGGTAGGGGTGGGGGATGATTTGAGTAACTTACAAGTAATGTAGCACTAGGTACTTTTTTCTGTGTATTTCACAAATTAGATTTGGAAACAGTTGCTTTGATGCCAGCAGATCTTATTATGATTTTTATTTGGAGGATAATTTAGTGCTCTTGTCATTGAATAATAAAATATCCAAGGCTGTGGTTGGAAATGAAGTTTGGGAGAAGGAGAGGGCAATTTCTCTACTGTTTAAGCCTGAAGACTAGTTAGTAATCATGCAATATTTTCTGTATTACTTTGGTACATTTGTACTCGTTCTGTTTGTTGATATGGAAACAGTTGTATTTTAAAATAATAAAGCATGTGATTTATTTAAAAATTTGTGTTTTAACTCATGAAATCTCTAAAAGTTGATACTTGAGGTATTTGAAGTTTGTTAGTCAAAAAAAAAAGAAAAGTAGTAGGGTTTTTCTTTTTTTTATTTTAAGTTTTGTGTCAAAAATCTTGACTTGTTGGCAGAGTTTCTTTCTAAATCACTGTTTCTGTAGCTTTCCCTAACCCTCTTGGTTCTTTTCCTTCTGGTGACCCAACTGCTCAATCTTCTTTTTTTCTCTGTCTCTTAAATTCTATACTTATTGTGTATTTCCCATAGGACTCATAAGCTCTTGTTACTTACATTTCCATTGCATGCTCATGGTCTTCAAATTTATATTTTAGACTCAGGTACTCTTTTGAATTTCAGAAATGTTCTTTATTGAATATTTCTGTCTTTTTGTGCCATAAGCAATAAACTTTCATATTCCTTTTTGAACCTGCCCATATTTATTCCTTGGCATATGACAGTTAATAGGATAGTCTATTCAGTTGCTAAGCCTAATTTCTGTCATCCTTAATTCTTACTCTTTCTCACTTCCACAGCCAGTGAGTCTCAAGTCCTGAATTCTACCTCCTAAATATCTTTCCTTGCCAGTCCTATAGCTGTTACTCTAGTTTTATCATCTGGATTATTACATCCTTTGTCTGTTTTATTCTTGTCTCCTCCCATTCATTCTTCATATTGCACTTCAAATTGTTTTTGTAAAACCAAAATCTATTCTATGTAAAATTTTTGCTGGATTATCATTAGAAGAAAGTCCAGTTTACTGAAGTTTACTCAGATACCTTTCTAACCTTGTGTCTTTGTTTCTGTCTAATTAGATTGTATATGGGCCATTTCATCTATTAATTGTGATATCTTATGTACACTGCTCACTTTGTCTAGGACATTTTTTCCCTTCCCACTCCTAAGTTGGGCTTCAGTTCTAACTTTGGAGAATAGCCCTGCTCCCCTGCTCCAGCCAAGTCTGAACTAGCAGATTATGCTGTGTGCCTCCCATAGTACTTCATGCTTTTACTTTCTTAGTCTTAGTAGTTGTCATATTAAAAATAACATGTATTCACAGTCTTTAAATTAGACTGGCACATACTTAATACTCATAAATATTTCCTTTTATATTAAATAAGAGAAAGTAATATAAATTTGCCTTCTATGTAACTATAAAAATCTATTATGTGATTTTTTATGTGCTATAAGACTTCCTAAGATTAGCTGGCATATTTTAAGTTTTGATGTTAATAAATATATTTATTTCATGGTTATTTTTAATTCTTATTTTTAATAAGAACCCATCACTGAAATCCTTATTATAATTTTATTGCCATGATAATAGGTTATCTTTTTTTAAAAAAAGTCTTCAAGAGGGAACGTGCTTATTTTCTTTGATCTGTTTCTTCATTAATCTCCCCTTGCTAGTAGTCCATACTGATCGATTTGGTATTTATATTTAGCCTTTTACATTCTCTCATAAAAGGAGATGATGCTTCATTGTTGGGCGTTTTGTTGGTTACAGTCTACCCTGACATTTGCACTATCAGCCTCGTAGCAGTAAGTGATGTAAATAAACATGCTGAGAGAGTTGCTTTCTGGGATGATGTTTATGGCTTCAACATGTCCTGCATGAAGAAAGCAGTTATTCCAGAAGCTGTCGTGGAAGTTTTGGATCCGAAGACTCTTATTTCAGACCCTTGTAGTATTAAGGTAGGTGTTTCACCACTTTTTTTTTTTAATAAGAGTATTGCCATTTTTCTTAGTTCATTATTTGAAATTAGTCTAGTTATCCCTGTGTATCTGTGAGGAATTGGTTCCAGGACTCCCTGTAAATACCAAAATTCAAGGACACGCAAAAGTCCCTATACAAAATGGTGCAGTGCTTTCATAGGACCAGTGCACATCCTCACATATACTTTAAATTATCTCTCATGTCTCATACCTAATACAATATAAATGCTATTCAAATAGTTGTAATGTATTGCTTAGGGAATAATGACAAAAAGAAAGTCTGTACATGTTCAGTCAGAGGTGCAATTTTTTCTTAAAATACTTTTAGCATACAGTTGTCTGAATCCAAGGATGTAGGACCACAGATACAGAGGACCATCTGCATATTGATTTGCTATGTGAACCTCTCCCAACTTTAATTTAGTATAAAGCAACTCAAAGTCAGAGTATTTACACTTGACTCTGTCATTCCTTTGAAACCACTCCTCTTTATGTATTTAAACTTCTTTTACTCAGTTTTGTAATCCTTCAAATCTAACTCTGAGCTACTTGAGTTGTTTACATTTACTTTGGCTTAATGAAAACAAAAAGTCCTGCTATTGTCCTTTCTGCTTCACCACCCCCTGGTTTTATTCTAGCTTCTCACAACAGATTTTATGCATTCGTATCATTCATTCTGCACTATTTAACTTCTCTTACTCACATTTCTTCCAGCCTTTTTAGACTAAGTAATTTCAGTGAATTTACGCCTGAATCTAAAGGCCTACTCTGTGCAGATTTCTCAATTAATCTCTTTTGTGTTTTATTTTTTACTGTGTTAGTCTCTAGTTTTATTGTGAATTTTTCTGTGTTAATTTTACATGGGCTTACTAATAACTTTGCAGTAAGAAATCAAATAACTTTTCTTAAAACTCATAAATTTTGATATTTGGCCCTTATCTAACTGTCCACTTCACGCCTTGAGGTGTTCTGTCCCTGTTTGGGTAGTTGACTTTCTTCAACTGCCCACCTCATTCCTTGAGGTGTATTTAATGATTTGCTAACAAATCACCCTTTACTATCAGAAAAATTAGTCTGTGTCAACTTGACACTCAAATGTATAAAGTTTGTTAATTAGAGTTAAGATAATGTCTCTTTTTAGTCACACTAAACTTTCTTAACATCAGTAATTGTTCTGTGCGCAAGGTAGATTTTCAGTAAACATTTATTAAATTTCTTAAATGGATAAAAGTTTTTAAATTAGCATAGAATAATAAATATGAATTTTCTCAATAAGAGCAAACCTGATTAAAATTTCATTCAGTTTTTAAGGACAAAGACAGCCTGCATGATAACTGTAGGACTATTTAGTGCTCTGGTACATTGACAGGTAAGGGATTTATTTGAGCTCTTTAGGTTAAGCATGTATAGCTATAAGCCAGCTCAGCCTTAAGGCAGAGAGAAAGAAGAGAGTTGGAGAGTGCTAATTTCTCTCTCTAGTGGTCTCTTTGCTTAATTCCCAAAACTGCTATGAACAAAGAGTTGAAATTAAAAAAAAATTTAGGAGTGAAGAACAAAAGTATTTAGTAAGTATATATGTCATTTTTTAAGCATTAAACACTTGTTTGTGTAAGTCAGTTTTTTTTTTTTTTATTCTGTGTTTCCCAGTACTCTTGTAAGTAACAGGTAACCACATTGTAACTTTAAAAGAAATTTTTTTTCTGAAAACACATCTGCTCATGGCAAGTCAACTGATGGAGCTTTACTGGGGTCAGTCTGCTATAGGTGAAAGGGAGTCGCATCCCCTCTCCAAAGTGAAATAAAGAATTTGAACAGGACAAAATGCAAAAGCAAAGATATTTGGCTATTTTTTTCTCTGAGTTGAATCCTCATAGTTTTGCTGTTTGGTTGAATCATTGCAGTTTTTCCCTAAATTATCTAAATGCATTGATAAAAAATGAATTTTAGGACAATTTTTCCTTCCTGTACTATGTGTTTTCAAGTTGCTGTTTCCTTTAAACATATTGACTATTATTGCACATAATTTTTAGGAAATGTGGCAGGTGTACCACAAATGGTATGCAAAATTATTTTAAGTGAAACATAGAAAAAAATTTTTTTATTGAAAGCATCTCTTTTAGTGTGTCTTAGGAAAACCAAATCAAAGCAGATCAGAGCCATGACTTAATATATATTATTGTCTATAAGAAGTCTAAGTAAAACATATTAACTTGATTTAAAGAAAAATTAACTAAATGTCAATGTTAGTACCCTGAAATTTTAAATAACCCCAAAAAGGGTGTGTAAATTATTAAAAGTTTGCAAAACATTGGTTTATAGCAGTCCTTTTTTGTATGCATATGTACTTTTAAAAGAAGCACTGTTTATATTTTTGATCCTACTTTTATTAATTTCTTTCCTTCTCTCCTTCTTTGAACGGGTAGCATATAAATTGCCATACAACATCTATCTCAGATTTGGAGTTTTCTTCAGATTTTGCCCTGAAAATCACAAAGACGTCCATGTGCACAGTAAGCTATTCCTTTCTACCTTCAAACATTTTACTAGCAGTGTAATTGATTGGCAGGCTAATGAATTAATTACCAGGCTTTTGATAAATGAAAACGACTATTGCCTTTGACAGTCTATTTTTGCCTTTGCTAGACCACTGAGCAGATCTGGTTTAATAAGTGAGTAGTCTTCAAAAAGTTAGTTTAGTAGACAAAGTAGTAAGAAACCATGTTTACATAATGATTTTTCTTTATATTTTTTCATTATTACCTATCTTTTCTTTAGAGCATTCAACATTACCTTCAAAGACAAAAATTGATATTCTACTCCTCCCAATAACTCTTTATTTATATATGTATATGTATGTATATATGTATATACACATACACACATATATATTGGTAGGCTATTTCATACTCATTTATGAAAATAATTAAGAAACTGGCATTGATTTTATGTCCCCTTAGGAACCAGCATGGCACACTAGAAAAAGTATGGGATTTAGAAAGTAATGCAGATTTGAATTCACATTTGGTTTTGTTTTTGAGGGGCTGTTTTGGTTTTTTTTGAGATGGGGTCTCACTGCATAGCCCAGACAGGCCTTAAACTCCTCATCTTCCTGCCTCAGCCTCCCAAATGCTGGGATTACAGGCATGCCGTCACCCAGCTTCTCTCATCTTTTGATATTAATAGTCCTTAAGAGTTTAAGGAAGAACTAACTTGATAAATAAAAACATCAATCTGTAAGGTAAGCCTTAGAAATTGTCACATTGCTATTATTATTAAATAATATTTCAAATCTCTTTCCAATGACCTTCATATAAAATAGAACAGATGTTCTATTTTTGATATACAGTGAATATCAAAAACTGTATTTGTTTTTGTACATATTTTTTAAATTGGATGAATATTGACTTTCACTGAAATGTTCAGTATTTTCTGATTTATTGATCGTGGTTCTTAGTTTCAGACAATAGAATCAGCTTATTTAAACTCAAAATTTTGGTAAAGTCTGTTTAACCCAAAGGTTATAAGCAAAATTTTGGTATGGAAAAAAGTGTATCAAATTGATACTTGAATTTGTCCTTGTATTATACAAGGAGTTCAAAAAGAAAAATGGATTAGAAAGAAACTGTTTAAATAATTACGTTATCATACATCTAAAAAAGTAACATTAGATTTGCATTTTTATTCTCAACTTGCCTGGATGGTGTATATAAAAGCCAGGGTACATAACAAAACCCTGTCTCAAAAAATGAAAAAAAAAAATTATTTGGAATGGAGAGGGTCTAGACACTGTGAGGAAGGTAGAAGAAGGTTGGAGTTGACTTGTATATGTCAGGGTACTGCTGAGTAACACAATTCTGTAAGTCACCTCATGAACAATGTATTGTTACATGTTGCATGTTTATTCGGTACATGTCAGATACTGAAGGTACAGATTTTAATATGTAGCACGGAATGAATATTAGATGCGCTGGGAATTTTCGGTCAAATAATAGATACAAATTGTCTTCCTGTGATAATATTTAACAGTCATGGAAAACTTGAATGTCAAGTAATGTGCTAATCGCTTTGAAAGCTTTCTTTCATTTAGTTTTCATAACCATTTGAAACAAGTGCTAATGGTCCCATTTAACAGGTGAACAGTAAAAATCATTATAATGTTTTACTCATGAAACAAAATGTCCTTTACTCTTTCCTGACCCTCAAAAACCTCAGTGGGATTGTATAAACTACTGAAAGGATGTAGAGAAACCTTATAAGTAAGATGTTCCAGATGTGGAACAAAGCAGTTGCATCTGAAACATGACGCATATGAAGCAGAGTTGGTAGTTTTTATTTTCAGCCAGTGGTATAACAGCTCTTGGGAGGGAGAGGGAAAAAAGATGTGTATAAATCACAGTACGCTCTTCCTCAGAAATGGGAGGAAATAAGTCACATTCTCGCCCTCTTCACAGCAGATAAAAAAAGTAGATCTTTGAATTTTCTTAAAATTCCATTTCTCAGTGAAAGGTTATAGTTGTTTGGTTAAACATCTACATTTCTGGGAAACCTAATTGGAACTTTGTTTTGCCTTTAATATAGTCAGAAAAATTTGTGAAGATACTGAAAAATAAAAAACAACACCTGGTAAAGGGATAGAGATATAACGTCAGGGAGTAGAAGATACTTGGCTTTTTAAAGATAAAATAAATTATCTGAATTTGTTCTCCTGAGTGCAAACCTGCACAAATATTAAATGGTTTTGTTCCCCTCTTGGGCCTAAAACCTGAAGGCATAGCTGCAAGTTAAAATGGACAATTTCTGTGTAGTTAAGCCCATTTAAAATATATACATACTTATTTCTTTCTTAATTTAAGTCTTATTCAGATAAATAGTTTTTTGGGTTTTATTGAGGTACTTAAACAAGCTTACCTTTCTGGGCAAGAGTTTCTGAAATAGCAGAAAACTGAACAGTGCAGTCCAATTAATGGTGACAATGAACTCTGTGTACAGATGGTTTTGACTTGGAATCCAGGCAGTGCAGGAAACCTCCTTTCCTTGCTCCACAGCACAATCATAGTAACATGAGGGAAAGTTGTTTTAGACAGAGGACTTGCTCTTTCTTTTTCTTCTCCAAATTTCAGTGCAACAAAAGACCCAGGCCTGGCTATTAAACATTGGTTGATTTTTTTCTTTGTTCCTTAGCATTTCTGTGAATTTCTGCTACTTTACTGCCCACCCCCAACCCGCCAATGGCCAAGCATTTGTCCTCAGCTATGAAAGCCACTGTCTTTTTCTACTTAGCTAGGAAACTGTCTTTCCTGTCTGGAAATAGTTTGGACTTCTTAGCATCCAAGGCACTTCCATGTTTTTGATGGAAAATGATTGTTCAATAGATCTAGTTTTTTTCTTCCTTACATCAAAGTAAAGGTCTTTTACATCCTCTACATCCTAATTAGACACAGTGCCTGAATACATTGTTTTACTGAAGCCCAATCTGACAAATGTGGGCCTGCCTACTTAGGATTTTTTAAAGTTTAAAAAGTAAATGAAAACAGTCAATGAACTAAAAAAAAAAAAAACTATGTATTACCTCTTACTCAGTTAGTTTTTTAGTTGTATACTTGATATATGGCTGAAAGACAGCTTTTAAGAGTCACCATTCTTTACCTTTGGATAGAGTCAACACAGGTCTTTGAGTTACAGTTTTTATTTTTGTTTTAGTTTTTTAAGGCTAATACAGTTATAAGAAACAAACTAAAAATGTTTACAATTCAAACTTCAATGACTCCTTAGTCATAATATTTTCTATCTTCATTTTACTTTATAATTAAGCTTTGAATTTTTCTAATGGCTAAAGAAAAAAACTTCAAGATGAACCCATTTCTTTACAATTATGTTTTTTAAATCTTCTATCAAGGCTTGTGAAAAATCTCTGACAGTACAAACCTACTAATTCCAAACTCATTCCTGGGTATTAAATCAGCTCTTAGTACTTTTTGGTGTAAAGCGACCTAATTTTGACCTTGCAAAGCTAATCAGCTAAAGAAAGTAATTATTAAAACACATCTGTGCTGCTTAGAAATAGTAAAATTTGTCTTGAACTTGCGTCATAGATTTTAATGGGACATCTGGTATATATTTTAATAGACTTCATTAAGTAAATTTTCTGTCTTGGGGGAGAGCATTTCTAATTATGAGATTCCTCTGCTACAGTTGATTTTAGATTTCTCCTTGTGTGAATGACCATATGATCTAGAGCATGGTCCTCATTTCTACTGTTCTCTGAAACCTGAACCTTTGTAATTAGACTTACATGCTGGTAAGAACATTTTAACTCCTTCATTTATCCTCAGGAAATGATTTTTGAGTACTGTGATGTTCTAAGAGTATTAGGCATTAGGAATATATAACAAGTCCAAAACAGCTCCTCTACTCACATGGCATTAATCGAGGAGCCAGATAATAAAATTCGCTCTGTGGCTAGTAGATAATACCTGAGAATTTTGTTATATCTGGTAAAGGCTCAGTTATCTAAGAAAATGTTCATGTAATGGAGGAACTAAGGAAGAATAGATGAAGTGAATGTGCCAAACACTAGTAACTGTTGAATATAGGTGACAGGTACTCAAAGATTCTATAATTGTGTATATGCTTGAAACTCTTCATAGTAACATAATTTTTAAAGACCCTAACTGTGGTAATCTAAGTGATAATATTCTAAGTAATCACTGAGGTGATGAAGCAAAGGTAACTACACTGAGCTAAAGCTATTGGTATAAAAGCCAGTAACCTATTATAGCTAACAAAGCTGAATACATGCTTACCCTATGTCTCAACCATTTCACTCCAACATGAAAGACCAAAACACAGCAGAAATGTGTTCATAGCTTCATCAAAAAAACATAGAATGCCCATTGCAGCCTTCTTTAAATAACTCCAAACTGGAAACAATCAGAACATTCATGAACAGCAGAATATAGTATAAATAAATGTGGCATATTTTTAAGAATATCGCAATGAAAATATGAGGAGCTTGACTACACACTACAATGAGGACAAAGTTTATAAACACAAAGTTTGTTTCAAAATGGGCAAAACCAAATACGGGACACTTTCAATATTTTTATTTCGAAACCTGGCTAAACTAATACATGATAGTTGACATCAGAATAATGTTTTCCTTTTCTAGGAGGACTTAATGATTGAAAGGAACCATGATAAAGGTTTTTAGGGTTTTGGTTTGGAGAGTGGTCCATATCTTGATCTGGATAGTAGTTATAAAAAGTGCTCAATTTGAAACAGTGCAGTGAGCTGCATACCAATAATTTGCTCATTTTTCTATTTTGGTTTTTATTTTATTTTGTGTTTTTGTGGTACTGTTGATTGAACACAGGATGTTGTGCATGTGCTAGGCAAGCATTGAACTACATCCTCAGTCCTTTGTGTATTTTGTACTTACACACTTTTATTAAAGCATTTATATTAAAAGAGAGTGATTCTTACCTTGGCTAAAAGAAATCATTTTTGTGTG